TCTCACGCGCGGCTCACTGGTCGACCAGGTGCAACGCGAGCTGGTTGACCAGTTCGTCGAACAGGGCCGCGTGGGGCTTTACTGACGTGTAGGTGAGCTCCAACAGCTGCTCCCAAATGTCTTCGAACTGGGGAAACAACCTTCTGCAACCGAGCTCGTCGCTCGGTGTCCAATCCTCCCTCGAGACTGCATCGGAGAGGTTTGCTTTGCTTGAAACCCTAACGAACACGATGTTCAACTGACGGGTTGCTGCCCAAGACCAAAACCAACCTAACAGGTTTGTCAGTCTCTCGTCCTTGCTGTACCCTTTCTTAAGCGCGTGTTCACTAGCGCTGTTGTCGACGAAGCACACGACGTCGCCTGACAAGTACTTGGAAAGGGTTGCTAAACTGAGGATCTGTGCCAGAGCTTCCAACCAGAAGATGAAAGCCTTGGTTGTGGCAACTTTGCCGAGGATGCTGACTGGCACACGCGTCCTGAAGGCAAACCTTTGGCCTTGTCTCCCAAAGAACACAGTGCCCAGGCCATTCGTTGACCCTCGGAGGGCTTCTAACGGGGTAGCTTGTTGTAGCCACCTGGTGGCGGCCTGACGGTTGCCTGCCAAAGTGACAAAGGCGTCTGCGTACAGGAGGTGTGGTCTACCTGGGTTTGGGTTCTTACGGAGGGGAAACTGCCGGTGCTTCAGTAGAGGTAGGAGGCCTAGTAGGCCTGAAAGGGAAGCTTTAAGAGGTTGGTTTAGGGACTTAAGCGGGAACGGGGAGTGCTGCCTGGAGTAAATGGGCTTAAGGAGGGCCTTCCCAACTCCTCCGAAGACCCATGAGCACACGAAGTTCAGCTTACCCGCCAAGTGTGCTGCTTCCTCGGGGGTGAGCTTGTCTTGCTCCAGGGCTCTTCTGACGAGGGCAAGGACCTTCTCTACCCTGGAGGTGCTCGGCCCAGCTGTGACGCAGTGGTCAAGGATTGACCACACCACTCCTAACAAGGTTGCTTGGCTGCAGGGCTTCTGCGCCTTGGTTTCCTTCATTGTGAAACCTAACAAAGCCTGCAAGGCGCAAAAACACTGAAAAGCGGACTCTGAGGTACTTGCAGGTTCTGAGTAGAAGTAGTCATCTACGAAGTGGGCTGCCGGGATGAAAGCTAGGGTGATTGTCAGAAAACAGATGACGTCGGCCACCCGAAGGTAGCTCCACACGCTCCCCGTACCCCCGAACGGGAGGACCAGGTGCTGAAAGACACTCGGTTCGTCTTGGCTAGGAACGAACACGAAGCACTCCTTAGGGTCTCTAACTGGGAGAGCCCTGTACGCTCCGTCGTGGTCCAAAGCTGCCAGGGTCGGGTCCCCTATATCCGCTGCTGCCTGGACAAGGTTCAGCACCGTTTGGGTGCCAGCGTACGGGGGGGTATCCTTGACAAAAACGGTACTGTTGTGACCGGATCGTCTCCAGTCGTCTGCCCTCCTAACTTTGTCCTGTTGCACTACTGCAAAAGCCCGTGCAGCGAAGGCGTCCTCGTCGGAAGCTACCTGGCTTGCTTCGAACGGGCCTTGGAACCTGTCTTTATGCTGTTCCTTGGAGATTTCCTGGAGCATGGTCAGGGAATGTTCTGACTGGCGGCGATCTCCGTGGATTGCCTGTTTATGTTCCTTGTTGAAGGAACGAAACTGCTGTTTGCTGAGGGGCCGGCTGTACTTAGCGTCCTGACGGGTGTCCCAGCAGGTCCCTGGCGGTAGAGGTCCCAGAACCTTGAACCCGAA